ATATTACATTAATAATTTTAAGTTAAAAAATAAATATAATTTTTAACTATTTATGCATGTTTTATAATTTTATTCAATAGCTAGGTATAACTATTAAAAAAAAAAAGAGCCTTTTTTAATAGAAAATTATAGTCATAATACTTAATTGAAACTTAGAATAGAACATTTAACTTAATTTATTTTATTTCTAAATCAATTTTTTTTTTATATAATTTATAAAAATATAAATTTTTATTACAGCTAATTATAAATACAAGTTTAATAACTAAATTATTGAATCAATAAAAGATTAATGGAAGCAGTCATCTAATTACAAATATTTACTATTATACTATAAATATTCCTCAAATCACAAATGTTTTTTTTTTTTTTAGTGATTCATATTTTAAATAATATGATTTATTCAATATAATCTCATGAGATTCATAAATTTAGTGATGGCAATCGCCAATATCCATATAAAATTAACTGGCTGTTGATAGCACAATCAGCTACAAGGCATTCTAAGCCAGGGAAAATGTATTAGTGTAACTGACAATAAAAAAAAAAAAAAAAGGAAACGAAACATAACACTGAAATAATCCGAATGGTGCTATCGTAGCTTCACTCATATTATGATGTTGAAGACATATTTGAAAAAGCACTCGCTTCTGTTGTATAAATGCTTTCTAATAAATCATAATTAGATTTCAGTAAAAAGTCACCAACTTACAGTTTGTTTAAAATCAACTATAATTATGATTACTATTATATTATCTAAGTGGAATTTATTTTTCAAAACATCCAATTGAAATATAAGTACGAGAATTAATATTGCAAATACATTAAAAATTCATGGTACAAATATTATATAAAAATAATGATCCTAAATTTGATTTTATTTAAACAAAATATATTGATGTAGAAAGTCAAACTTTATCACTGAATGAAATACATAATTTATTAATTACTACAATCATATAATCCTAAATATTCATTCATTAATTAATGAAGTATTTGATGTGCATAAATCTGATGAATAAGAAACATTACATTTTATACATCATATTATTAAGTCATTTCATAACAATTTAATTCATATTACTGTAGACATGATAAATAAAAAGGTTATTATTATTATTATTATTTAAACCATAAGAGAAAAATACTGATTATGGTAGAAAAAAAATAAGGTACATTTCATTAAGATATAAGAATTTATATTTATATTTAAGAGTTAAACATTAATTTTTTTTTACTTAAATAAGTCAGTTACCCCAGTTTGTACAAATGAGGTCACTTCTTATTTGAACATTATTTTCTTAGATTAAAATATCAAACACCAAGTCATAATTCTAGTAAGAAGTATAATTAGGAAAATATATTTATAATTATATTAAATGAATAAAATTATTTCGTGCACCTAAGTTTACTTAAGATTATATTGAAATTGATCTATACACACATACACACACACACATACATACATACACACACACACACAAAAAAAAAAATCTAATGAATCGTTCATTATAAATATTTAACTTAATTTTAAATATATTTAGTTTATATTTTTTTTCCGTTGCATAGATCAATCTAATTATAAATCTTTTTATAATATTTTATCATTGTTATTAAAATATATTAATAAAAAAATTACAAAGTTTCACTCGCGATACGACATATTTCTACCCATGGTCTTCCTTAAAAATAACGAGTCATTAACTTCAATGTTTACTTATAACCAATAATCAATCAATTAACATGTATTACATCTATTTAAAAGTATTTTATTCAAAAATACAATAAAAAAATCTACCTAATTAAGAACTATTAAATAATGTTTTCCATTATACTATACCTAACTGTTATTATAATCATACAATTAAACATCTTAAGAGAATATGTAAAACCTCATAAAAGCAAAAATTTGTGTATACTCTATACCAAAACATATTGAATTAATTGCTACAAAGAAATCCAAAGAAAACTTGGCTTCTCAATTTTCACAAAACTACTATAACATTAACTCAAGTATAAGGTTATTCACAACTTATGATTTTAGAGATAATATTAAGATTGCCTATTGCAAAGTAACCTATAATATTAGTATTTTTATTAATAATATTTATATTAATAATTTCTGAAGTTAGTTTTACCAGTAGGTAAAAAAAAAATATTAGTTTTTGAGACCATTGACTAATATAGTATCAAATCAAAAATAATATAAAACCACTTAAAACATTAAATTATAAAAAAATTCTACCATTGTTATAATAGGTAATCGAAAATACTGCCGTTTTAAATAGTCATACAACCTATCAGCAATAAAGTATAAAAAAAGAAATCAATAAGTGAAAAAAAATACAATCCAACATTCAGTAGTCAGAATTGTTCTGTTTTTGGGTTGAAAAGTAAAGCAAATAAGAAATTATGATTTGCATTGATGTAAAAATACAGTTGACTAAAAATGAGATTATACTTGTATTAAATAATCCATAAGATAGGTACCAAAATTAGTTATATCCTATGTCAAGAAACATAAGCGGTTATGTGATATTGCAATGAGTAGACAATTATTTCAGCTTTAAATGAAGACATTTAACTATCCATCTTCAATTTTTGTTCTATTATCTGTTTATTCTTAGGATCTTTTTGAAAGATTAAAATCTTCTACGATCCTGGCCGTTACGTCTGTCTTGACCCCACCTTCCGCCCCTGTCTCCTCTAGGGCCAGCGTCGAAAAGGCCTGGTGGCGGCAAAACTCCTTGATTGTCACGTACAAAAGTTTCCACGAACGGCGTCGATTCCTATCGGTTATCAAATCAATCAATGCATTCATAGGGAATTAGTCATATAAATAATTAATTACCTAATATTAAAATAAAAAAATATTCAAAGAAGTAAGCTTTTAACTTTTCTTAAAATTTGGAATACCAAAGAGATATGCATTGACAAATTTAAGTACTAAAATTCTTTAGAAATAGGTATTGAAATATAAAATTCAAAATAAATATTATGAGCATACACAATAATAGTCTTACACTTGTTACGTTGACAGATATCAATGGTTTTTTTTTTTTAAACTTCTAATATAAAAAAAATATATCAAACGGGTAAATATTTTTTTTACTGATTAAGATTGTTTTTGAATTTATTAAATTAAATAAAAAAAAGTAATTCATTAAGTATAGTACCACTTCTAAAATGTTTTTTATACAAAGAATTATTTAGTTTTAATATAGAATTAATTTTTCATGGCTTAACATTCAATAAATTTGTTATGAACTTAAAATTATTAAAGATCAAAAAAAAAAATTTAAGAAAATCTATTAATTATAATCATATTAAGAGACTCAGAAGTAAAAACCACTGTCTGAACTTGCTAGATATATATTAAAAAATAAAAATTGATTAAAATTCTTATATAGAAGAATTTTGTTTTCAATCAAAATTAATAAAAGTTCTAATCGATAACTTACAACTTAAGTTTTTTCATACTACACTACATGACTATGATTATTTTACTAGTATGCTCTCTTAAATTGATACCGAGTAAATTTTTTAATAATGTAAATCTCATTATACAAAAATTGTATAACTCAAAAATATAATTATTTACTTCATAACTAATTTAAATGATTAAATGATCCAAAAATCAAATTTTCAATAAAATAAAATTATTAATAACGGTAATTTAAGAAAAATTAAATAATGCAATACTCGTTTTATTATATCGTATCTTAATATATCATAAGCCTACGTCTTGTCAACCTATCTGTCTAACAAATATACAACATAACAAAAATTTGCATTAAACAGAAGTTATTTTGTGTTATTTACTTTAATACTAATATCAATTGACCAATCAATTTTAAAAATAAGATACGATCTTTATACATTTGTTTTTTACTTTTTTTTTACAATATTTAAACTATTAAATAATTAACGAACTATTTTAATTATTTTGTATACTATAAAAGCCATCTCAGTTGTAAATATTAAATGAAGAAAACATACAAAGGGAGAAATCCTTTAAAGAATGTTCTAAAATAAAATATTATTTTTAATTCAATATTTATACATAAATAATTTTCTTTAATGTTTAAATTAATGTATCTATTTTAAGATTTCAAAAATATTTAGAATATAACCTCATAGCTATTCATGTAATAGTTTTGTATTTCTACTCTTAAAAATAACTGACTTAGTTATAATAAACGTGCTATTAAGTATGCATTTACTAGTTCATTTAATAGGTTTTATTCCCAATTATAATTAAATTTAAAAAATTTAATTATGAAAGAAAACTGTTAGAATTCAATTACAACTCGACAAATATAATGTATCTAACAAAACCATATTTTTTTATTCTATTAAATAATAAAAAAATTTTTTGTACTCTACCAAGGCAATAAGAATAATTTGAATTGTTTATTTATATAAAATAATAGATGAGTTATATTAAGTACTTAAATATAAAATAATAATTAATATTGACAAAAATTAATTCCTATGATAAAAACAATCCCAAGTCATCTTCATATAAATAGATCAATAAAACGCAAATAGTCAAATTCTTGTATTCAATGATAATAATGATCAATACATTGTTATATACTAAACCAATTTAATCTTAAAATATATTAAGTAAAATAACACGCATTTCTTACGATTCCTTTTAATAAATATAATACTTTTTTGAATCTCAAAAAAATTATGGAAATGTCAAATAATTATCAACCTAATACTGCAAACAATTTTTTGTTGAAAAATTTGCAATATTTTAAATTTAAAAATACTAATACTTTATGATTATTATCAGATTCATTAAATGGATACATAAATAATATATCCATTATAATTCCTGAAAATTGCGAACACCAAAACAATTCAAACACAACAAAACAATTCATTATCAATTATCACGAAATCTGAATATTTATAATATCTAAAGCAATCATCTTCTAAGAAGAGATAAGTATTTATTAAAATATTAATTCATGCTCCAAAAGACTGACCTGATTTGCCACTTGGCTTTCCCCACCCTGTTAGGGAATAAGTGATAAATAATTATTATGTATATAATAATTATTAAGAGGTTTTCATTAGTTACATAAGTATTTAGTATTTAAATCATTAGTTCACTGTTATTTACTATTTTCAACTTAAAATTAATTGCTGTTACTAGTTGGTAATTTAAAATAATTAAGACCATTTTTCACATTGTGTAATACTAGAAATGCTAGCATTAATAAGAATATTTAAACCTTAAAATAGTAATAAAAAAAAAGGTACATTACCATTCCTCCTTGAACTGTAAAACAAAAACAAAAACAAAAAAATTCATTATGGAATTATCACATTATGATATGACATACAATGGGAAGAATATTTAAAAACTAAGCAAAATTGTATAATACTTGCATAAGTGACCAGATATTTTATTAGTAAAAGTCAGACATGTATTAAAGACCTAACAGATGAAAAGGAGATAGGAATAAAAAGTAATAAGATTTAAAGATTTTTAAAAGTATAAATAAAACCTTTTTATTAACACTGATGAAAATTGACAATAAAGGAGAATTGTTTATTAAGTTTGAACACTAGAGAAAATTCATTAAAAAATTTGTTTTTTATTTGGTTTTGTTCTGTAACTATTTATTAATACTTTAGTTAAATTATTAATTAAAGCAATATTATGTGATAATTTAGAGATTTATTGTAAATAAATAAAAAACAGATATATTCACTAAAGTTATTTATATAACTTATACACTACACTTTTACATTAAAATTATAAAATCAGAATAAGATCAAGATATGTAATAAAAATCTGTACATTTTATGTTCTAACTGATCTAAAAATGTATTGAGGCAAGTACTAAAAACTTGGTACTGTTTCATACTTAAATTGGGATATCTGGTCATACTATACTAGCATTAATAAATATATTAAATACAAGTTAAAAGTTTAAATTTATGAACAGACTTACCTTCTACAGGAATAGGGGGTCCATCAAATGGAGGTTTACCCGGTCCTCTATGGTCCTAAAACAAACATAAATATATATATACACATATTAGACAATAATATACCAAGTACTTAAATTAGGGGTTAGCCAATATGTGAACAAATATTTTATTAATTTTTATTTAATTAAGTATTTTAATATGTAACTAATTCAATTAATCATGACATCCTAGTTCGTAAGTTAAATTTGATTGACATCTACAGTTATCCTTTAAACTTGTTCAGTTCGTATTTGAAGAACTGCTACCAACAAGTATTAGTAAATGGATATTTTTCTTCAAATACTGTAATTTTAAATTTTTTACTGATGATTTAAAAATATATCATAAAATGTCTAGCATAAATTACTGTTTTATATTACGAAATCCAAATAGATTTTTAAAATGGTATATCTTAAATGATCATAGTATATTTCAAAATTTCAAAATGCTCTAATCTCACTTCACCATAATAAAAGAAAAATCTCATTTAATTACCTCATTGATAATAATCATTTTAAGGTATTAAATACTTTACACGACCTTGGTAAAGCTTTTTAATCTAATTTTTTTTTATTCTCTCGCATAAAACAAGTATATATTTAAACAATATAAACTGTTTATTATTATTTAGATCAACAAAATCTCTTCATTATGAGGAATGTCAAACAGTTCTTAAGTTCTTTAGTCTGCTCTATACTATAATATGAATCCATTATATTGAATCTGTATTCTATTAGCCAAATAGTCTTGAATGAGTACAAAGAAGTAATAAAAGCTTTAAAAATAAAATAATCCACCAAAATATTTTAGTTTCTAGCTAACCTAAAATTAGATTCCTTCTCAACTTCAACGTCTTACTTATACAAATTATAAAATGGTGTCATAACTACATCTACTTGAACTATTATTATTTCATGTACCACATTATGTTGATAATCACCATTCTCATTAAGATCAACATAGTCTTCTAAATCTTTTTTTCAAGCTCATCTCTCTAATTTAGATTTTTTTTTTTATTAGTATATCTGAACTAAAGCACCATTAGTCAAATTATTTATCAATTATTATTATTAGTATTAGCATAATTCCATGTATTATTTTTATCAAATCTATACTCTATATAAGGTAAATAATGTATTATATATTGTGTACTAGATCTGCCAGGTATAAATTTAAATAAAATAAAATAATCATACAGTGATACAACTTATCGTACAAACTATTTATTTAATATATAAGGTAAAAAAAAAAAAATTAGTGTTAATATTATATTTATTTATTGTATTCACCAGAAATCATTGAATTCAATGATTACCAAATATTAATAAAAAGTGATTCTCTATCTAGAAGCAGAGAGGGAAAAAATTCATGCCAGAAAAATAAAATTCGTTCAGGCCATTCAATTTTTTCATCTCTTGAATAGAAACTTTACTTTATTTATATATGTAATGAATTTTGTATTTAAATGTATATAAGTAAATATCAAATATAAAAATGTATTACATAAATATGTATTTTATTGATTTAAATATAAGAAAAAACTTTAAATCTAAAAGAGGTAATCAAAATTTAATAATTTTTTGAATGTTTATATATAGTGATGTTAATAATATGAGCGAATTTAAATAATAAATCACAATAACCAGAGATATTTTCAGTATTTGTTAAAAGTTTAAATAAATTTCTTTTAAAATAATATGCATCTAATTTCATACATTATTTTCCACTTTGCAACAATTTTTATTTTTTTCTCTATCTCTTTTTCAGAACCCCCTTTCCTTTTCTTATTATCACTCATTTCGAAAAAAAAAACCAGAAAATATTTAATATTGAAATGAACATTTAATAACTTAACTCTTTAAACATATGAAATATGAATGTAGTGTAAAGGTACTCCCACAAGTCCATCATACTGTATTCTTTAAATAAATACTTTGATGACAAAATAATGAAAAAATGTATAATTGGATAGATAATCACGAGGCTTTAAGATGTTATTGTATTGGAAAACTTCTGTGAAAATTATAAAAATAAATGGTGTGTACATTACTAATGTGGGTATTTTGAATATACTATAATTTACAGACTATGGCAAATTCATATCAAATAACCTATCACTCATCAGAATTCAAAATATAAAAATGATTATTAATTAAATTGTTAATATTATTATTTCGTTTTAGTGCATAAATAATTACACTTATCACATTATTCTGCGCCTCTTCACTATTTTTATACTTTTTTTTCTATTTATACTTAAGGCCAACAGGCCAATATAGCTTCCAGGCCACCAGAATTCTTCCTTGTATCTCGGTGGGCCACTCTGCTTCAGTTTCATCTCATATATACATAAACACTCATAAAACATAAGAATCTTAATATTTTGTCCAACAAGAGAACCTATTCAACATCAAATCCGCATATTCCATGCAACACCACTCTGCCATTAAAACCAGCTCCATTAAGACAAAACGTTGCAAGGAGATGCACAAAAACTTATTTTCCTCCAAAATGAGCGTATACAAACACTCAACAGAGTAGTAATTTAATTAACAAAATATTGATTAATTTTATGTTTTATAATGTTCTACCTGCATGAATGATGAATTGTCTTGTTGACGCCTCCTCATCTCTTCATCTTGATGATGCATTCTCATGCTTAAATCTTCGCTCTGTCTTCTGAAAATATCTTCTTCCCTAAGTCTCTGATCCTCTGCTTGACGTTCTTTCATTTCCCATTCCATTTTTTGTCGTTCTCTATCCATTTCTCGTTGTCGCAATTCTAACCAATCATATATATATATTAAAAATTATTAAATTTACTTGATGAAATATGGTAATATTTACGTTCTCTGAGCATTTCAGTCTCATGTTCATAACGAGCATATTCCATTTGAGCCTCCAATTTTTCTTCTTCTAATTTCATCTCACGTTTAAGAGCTTCTTCTTTTTGTTTATACAATTCAGCTAATTGTTTCCAACGAGTACCAAATTCATGTTCAAAAGAATTTGGATTAGCAAATCTTGGACCAACATCTCTTTGTTTCTGGAAATCCATAGTTTTTTTGGGCAATAACTTATCTGGGAGGCCATCTGAACTATCTACAAACTCATAAGTTTCAACTACACAAGGACGAAGAGAACTGAAAAAAATATAAAAAATATATATTAGATTACAAATTCAAGTACTTATCATAATATAAAAATAAAAAATTTATCGTTTCTACCTGGTCAAAAAAAAACAACCTTCTGAACAACGTTTCAAAGCATTGCTTGCAGCATTTTTACGTGAGAATTCAATAACACCTTCACCAGTTGAATTACCTCTCTCATCTACCATCACTTGGCAACGTTCAATCTAAAAAATTAAACATAAATTAAAATTAAATATTATTTTAAAGAAAAAAATTAAATTAAAATTATATAAAAACATACATCACCAAATATTGAAAAAGCATATTCTAGAAGTTCATTGGAAACAAATGGAGTAAGGTTTTTTACTTTGATAGCAGCAGCAATGGGAGCAAACCTTATTTTTAACATACGTCCTTTACGCATTTTACCATCTAATTCTCTTTTGGCTTTTTCAGCATTAGTACGATAATCCTATTTAAGTTCAATAAGCATTTAAGAATATTTTAAAGTATGACATACCTATATATGTTGTACCTGTTTAACATAGCAACAAATCTACATACCAGAACTTCATAAAAGTATATTTTTAGTTAATATTAGAAATACAAATTTACATGTAATATTTAATTTTTACAAGTTTTGTAAATCTAGAAAAAATGATTTAAATAAAAAAAAAAAAAAATTGTTAGAGAAAACTTAAACAAATGAAAAAATTCAATAATAAATTTGATCTAATCTTAATTATAAATAAAGTGTAGTCAAAATCTGGTGCATAGATTTGTTATGACACATATGTTAAATAGAGACAACAAATACAATTCTTCAATATTCATGACAATTAAATACAAATTATTAAAATAGTTTACCAATCTGATAAAAGCAAACATTTTTTCCTTGTTCAAAAAATTTTCAGAAACTTCTCCATAAGGTTTAAACATTTCTATTAATTCTTCTTCAGTACAATCAACTAAGTTTCCAATATAAAGACGACACTGACTAAGGAACTTTCTATCAGAGGTATCAGTTTGTGGAATCTCATGAGTTGGGCCCATAATTTGCATTAAACGTTCATTCCATAGAGCCTAAAAATGAAAAATATTAAAATAACATTTCAACACATGTAAATACTAAATAATATAGATATTTTAATAATTTATTGTGACTAACATCAGCTCTAGTTAAACGATCATCTCCTCGAATAGGTGGACCGCCTCTGAAAACACCTCCAACACCTCCACCACGCCTTCCACCTCTTCCACTTTCTGAATGATTACGATTGCCTCTATTCATTATATCATTATCTCCTGGATGGTTATCACCATGATTATCATTGCGGAAATCTCCTCTAGGCTGAAATTGAAAATAATTTTAATGTTAGTTAATTATTTCAAAAATGTTCACTTCAATCATAAATTAGTCAGCTTAGTATTTAATTTATTAATAACAATAAAATGATTCATCATTTATCAATAGCTTATCTAATGGCAACAATATTTCAAAAATATCAAAAACTTATCAAAATATCTATACATAAAGAACTAGTATAACACAATATTACTAGCAGCAGAAGTTCGTCATAACAAAATTTTACTTTTCACTGGTATACGAATTACATTAAATAAATAGAATTGTATTGTAGATACAATTATTTTAATGTATTAGAGAAGAAGCATGACACAATTAGTATTTAACATAAAATTAAAATAACATGCTTACCAATTATATTTAGTACTAAACATCATTATACCAGAGGAGACTTAACAAATTGACTGCTACATGCCCGCTGGTGACCCAAATCATATTAACGCATGTCAGACCATATCATTTTTACAGTTTGTCAAAAAAATTTACATTTTTAAAAATAGCTCCAATTATCCAATTTTAATAAAATTGATATTTTTAAAACCATTTGAAGGATTTCTGTGTTTTTTTTTTTTTGATGTCCAAATTCTTCTTTGTCTATGCCATGATTCAATCTAAATACTATTATTTTCAAGCCTTAAAGAAATATATACATTAAATGTTAATGTTAACTGGGCAATGGGCAACCTAAATGGCGTCACATTAATAATATGATTTAGGTAGGTATCTGGCGACCCAAATGGCTTCACAAAAAAGACATCACTTGGGTCAGCAGCAGGCATGTGGCAGTCAACATGTTAAAAATTTTTAAATCAAAATATTAACCCGTCGTTGGTACACATGTGAGCGCGCCGCTCACACAGATAGAATTTCGAGCATTATTCGTACAAATATTATTGAATTAATCTAATACTATAAATACCTTCAAATAACATGTCTATACATATTTATAAAAATAAATAATTACGCTATTTGTCATTGTCTATCAGTTATCGTTAGACAAAGTCGACAGTACCGATTAAGTGAGTGTCGCGCTACCACTGTACTAACCACACAATATTTTTATCACCACCATCGTAGTCGATTACGTACACAGTTTTGTATATACAGTTTTTTATTTTTATTTTATAAATTATGAAATGTACATAAAAAATATTTATATACTTTTTAGTGAAGGATAAAAATATATATAATTCTAGATATGGTTTGATGTTTTAAGTTAATAGATCAATTAATAATAATATAAAAAGTGAAGTGTGAGCGCCGCAGTGTAACAATCATGTTACAAACTATATGTGTACTAACGACGGGTTAACTCTTTTTTTAATTACTAGAGAAGTCAAAACTTCATGAATTAACTTTATCTCAGATATCTTAATAAATAAAATAGGAAATTATTAACTTGTTATACATTTAAAAATGGCTAACTTACTTTTAATATTAATATGTAAAAAACATAAATTAATCTTTACTAAATGTTACGTGATTATATTTCAACAGATACATATATCCACTATGCACCACCAAAATATAGTAACAAATTAATGTGTAACCTAGTAAGTTTTTATTTTCTACTATTACATAAATTAAAATTTATATTCAATTGAAACATTTAATAATAAAAAAAATCACCTATTATGGCAGTAATGGCAAAAGTGATACCTAGTTTATAATATATATTATATAAATAGATATATATTTTAATCTCATCGATTAAATAAAATAATAAGTCAGATGTTTATAATTATCACATAGACTCAAAGATCTTGGTAGTATAATATTATAAATAATCATCACTTTAAAATATGAATTCTAGACATTAAGAACCTTTAAAAAAAACTATTGATTAATAATGAGTAATGACAATAAAATTAAAACACCTATCCATAATCATAACAAAAAAAATGTATTATTATTCTTGACATTTCAATAATATTAATTGTTAAAATAAAACCTAATATCTTATATAAATAGAGTAATTATCATAAAATAACAAAAAAGGTAGACAAATTTTTTAAGTATTCCTTTTTCAGATAGGAGCGAAAGACAATTGCAATATAG